CAATACTTATGAAATTCTAGTCAAAAATTTAAATATTTTCTGGCCTGATAACATAGCTTTGGCTCTTAAAAGCTTTTTAAAATATTCAAATACTAGAAACTTAATAATAATTACGAGCCAAAAATAATTTTTATTTATTAATTATCAATAAGTAATTACTATAGATTTTCAACATACTTAATAAATGATCAATTACGTGAAATATATTTGCCATTATTGATGAACATAGTTTCTAAACATAATTTTAATGTTACAATAAAATATTAATGAAATATTCCCTATAACTATATTGGGTGTATATATTGATGACTGAAAATTTTCCAATTGCGTCATTTAATTTTCTCGGATTATAATTGATTTACGAGAATGAGCATGTAAATCATTGACAAATTGAATTTACTAAATCATTCAGCTCAACTGATAAAATAGCCGAAGCTCTTAATTCTAATTTGCATACTCGATACGACTGCAATATAAGCGCAGAAAGTTCTCGGAATTATATATATCTTTCCGTTCTTGAAAATGCATATTGTAATGAAAGCAAAAAAAAAATTATTGTTTATTTCCAGAAATAATATCATTTACATAATAATTCTGAAATTTGAAAATTAAATTTTCCAATTATATTACATTTTTTTTTAATTCAGAGAAGCAATTCAAAATTAATATTTAAATTAATATTAGAGGTACTTTTCTCTCATTTTTTTTTTTATTTTAATATAACAGTAAATTTCAAGTTTGTAAAATGTTCTTTTCTGAATATTATTATTTTTTTCAATATTATTAAATGAAAATTTTATTTTTAAAATAATTTTTTCATTAAAAGTTGTACGAAAAATGATCCCCAAGTTTTGAACGTTCAAATGAACGAAATATTTTTTATTGAAGATATTTTTATAAATTAGTAATCACAAAAAATTTAAAAACTGAAATATTTACGGTTGAAAACTCAGTTATTAATTTTTTTGGTAGTGACGCAAAATAATTGCAATAAAAATTTAATTTGTAGAAGAAATAAATAAATTTCGTTCATTTGAACGTTCAGAACTTTAGGATCTTTACGAAAAACCAAATATTTGATTACATTAAATATTTAAATTTTCTCCTTCACGTGCTTCAAATAATTAAAAAATTGTTAGCTTTTATACGAGTTTAGTATTTTTAAATTTATTATAAATTTCCAATTAAAAATTCATAATTTATTTTATAAAAGCTCTTGATAAAATATCGAATTTCTACGAACGAAAATAAATGAATAAATAAAATTCACAAAAAATGATAATAAATAACAATAATTGAATTTTATAAATTAAATATTAAAAACTAGTTAAAATATATATATTTTTTCATAAATAAGTATCTCACGTATAATTAATATACGCGAAAGATAGGAAATAACTTTATTGAATTGTTTAATAACGCTCTTTACATTTTGAAAATGATGATCAAAGGATATTGATTTTTTTTTCATGCGTGTATTTCATTATCCTGGTTATTAGTGCATTCTGTTTGACACATCAGTGATGGATCGATCTGACGTTAAACTAAAGTTCAATCAATCAAGGGATAAGCTGATTACTCGGTGAATTTCAATGTGACCAAAAACTTTTTTTTTTATTATTCATCTATGGTTATAACTTTCACCACCGCAAATGCGTTATAAAAGAATCATGATTGGATGCGTCCAATCTTAAAAATTATATGTATGAATGTTATCTAATCTTCAATATAAGCCTATATATTCAATAATAATCCGATAAATCTTCAATAATCCTATAAATCGAATCATCTTTATTCAATAATCTCATAACGTTATTATATCTTTAATAAAATTATATATACCTTGGGAATATTCTTTAGTAATTATATTTTATCAATAATATTCGAGTAGAAATTCATCAGGGTGTAAAAAAATGTTTATTTTCATATGGAATTACGGTCTTAAAAATAATAAAGATGATATTCATTTAAATTTTCTAAATAAAACATTTTTTTTTTTTTTTTTTTTGAAGAATTTCAATAAAATTTTAATAATTATCAGAGGCTCATAATTCGAAGTTCTCTGAAGATTCAATTTTTTTAACTCTAATAAAATACTTTAACAATTACTTTCAATTCGATTTGAAAAAATTTCAATTAATTTGATAATTTCAAAAATTTTAGTTTAAAATCTTCTGAAATTCAAATATTTCTAAAAAATATAATTTTGTTTTGAACTAAAATCTTTTCTAAGTTAATTATAGTTAATAACTTTAAGAAATTTTTTTTAGAATTTAATTATTTACACATAACTGAGGAAAAAGTAAAATTTAATATTAAAAATTGTTGCCTTGTATAAAAAAAACTCCAAGTTTAATACCTCTGACAAAAAATGTAATAAAAAAAGATTTTCAAGTTTCAAAAAATTAAAATTTTTCCAAAGTTTGCAAAAAGTAGAAATTTTTTTCTAGAAAATAACTAACAACTTTTTAAGATTACAAAAATGACAACTTTTATAAATTTGAAAAAAGAGGGGGGGAATTTAGAAAAGGATATGGAAAACCTGGAAATAGAATGGAATTTAAAAAAATTTCTGGAATTTCGCCTGTTTTTAAAGATTTCTAACAAATTGTAATTTAAAATTATTGTTCAATGATTTTTATAAATAATAACATTTTTTACAGGGATTCAATTATTTGCATAAATACATAATACAACTCATCACAGACTTTCAAATACTATTAATTTTTAATACAATTTTAATGGAAGTCCTCGAAAAATGAAATTATTCTTAAAAATTTTATTAAAATTCAGCAAAGAAATCCAATTATATTAAACACTTTTGCTACAATTTATTTATTACAATTTAAGTATTATTTTCAATACATTTTTAATTAAATTTCTTCCAAAAATAGAATTATTTTAATAAATAATGAAATTCTTTGTAACAATAAAATTCATCTCAAGAATTCAATTATTTACAAAAATATTATAATTCTTCACAAAAATCCAATTATAATAAATAATTTACAAAAATTTTCGTCAAAATTTTAATTATCTTTATAAAAAATAAAATTCCTCTCCGAAATTCAATTATTTTCAAAAATTATAATAAATTTCTTGTCAGAATTTCAATTAATTTTAATACAATTTTCATCAAATTTCTCGAAAAATGAAATTATTTTCAAAAATTTTATTAAAATTTGTCAAGAGAATTAAATTATTAAAAAATTTTGTTGATAAACTTCTGTATGAAAATTGAATTTTAAGAAACATTTAATTATTTAATAAAATATTTATTTTTGTAGTTAAATAATTTAATTCTCGTAGAATGTTCTAATAAATATTGATTAAAAAATGAATGTCAGTTAAAATTTTAGATTATAATTGAATATTGAAAGCATTATAGCGTTGATTTTTTGAAATAATTGAATTTTCAAAAAGTTTCAAATTAAAATCTTTGATAATTTGAACTTTATATACTTTTAATTAAGAATTGTGTAGATTTAAGTTTTTTCAAAAAATTTAATGGAATTTTTTTAAAATTATTTAAAGTTTTTAATTTCTAATACATTTTGATTAAGGAATGTCAAAATAATCGAAATTTCATAAAATTAAATTGTAAACAAAAGAATTTGAAAATTCTCAAAAATTTTTTTTTTAAATTATTTTAAAAAAATTGACCTAAAGAAGAATTTTAGTTGAAAATTCTAGAAATGAATAATCGTAATAATGAAAATATTTTTTGAAGAAGTTACAGTAACAAAGTGGCAAGTTTTAATTATTATAAAACATGAAGAAAGCGATCACTCCGAGTCGAAGACTCGGAGTGATCGATATCTTCATGATTTATAATAATTTTCTTCTATAAGTTATTGAATTTGAAATTTTTGAAAATTTTAATTTCTGTATGAAAAATTAATAATGATTAAATATTTATTTAAAAATGAATTTATAGATATTTTTGAATAATTTTCGTATTAAAAACATAATAACAAACATAATTTTATTTGATTGAAATATATTGTTTTTTTTAGTGTGTGGCAAACCTGTATTGGGGTTGTTAAAAAAATAATAATCTTATATAAAATAAAAAGAAATTTGAGAAAATGAAAATAAAATGTCCAACAATTGAAAACAAGTCAATAAATTTAAATTTAGTTTCATAAAAACAAAAACTAAACTAAAAGCACAAACAGCTTTAAAGTTTCCTTAAAAAGCAAGTCTCTTATTTGTTTAAGAAAAACCAAAAACTATCCAGTTGCTTTTTCTTCAATGCCAACAACTTTTTTTTTCAAAAAAAGAAAGTTCTTAAAGTTAAAATGAAAAAACTTGTAATAGCGAGAAATTTTTAAAAATGTCCTATATACGAAACAAGAAAGTTTGTCCATCGAAACATCAAAATATTTATTTCACTAAACTAACATTATAATTTAATCCCGTCTCTATTTTGTTAGCAATTTTTTTTAATACAAAATAAGAGTAAACCCCCCTTTTCATTATAAAATCATCATGTATTCGTGTTAACAGAATAGGAAAAAAAATTCTCACGTGTATTGATTTATGAAGATGAATCAATATAAAATGTCGCTTGATATATGAAACAAAAAATTTAAAAATCCTGCAAAACTGATCCGACAATTAGAAATTTATTAATTAACTTTATCACCTTATAAAAGTAAATCTCAAACTCGAGAATAGCAACAAAAAAAAGGGAAAAAATCTTCATTGTAACGCTGAATCATTAATGTTAAATAGTCGCATGTCTAAAGAAGCATAAAATGAATATAAATATATGTAATTAAAGCATGTCAGAGTGCAAATAAGAAAATCTGTTTAAGAATATAAAAGAATTCAATATGTGCGATGAATATTTTTACAAATATATATATATATACTGGAAAAAGTATGTATGTAAAAATGCGCAAATATATACGCATATATGAAAACTCTTGATGATGGAAGATGAAAATAAAAGCAAGTTCTTATATTCAACATATTCAGTCGAGAGTCCAGTTGGTTTGTGGATTTCCACTTTTATAGTAGAATGAGGAGAAGCGAAGTGATGATGATGACACCGGTTGTTGTATTCACTTCAACGTGAATCGACACAGTTGTGTTAATATGTTCATCTTCACGTCAGTGACTTTACTTATCATAACATTCAGTTACACCCATTCTTTAGAATATTTTGCAAAATGTTGTGAACATGGATTTATTTTTAACGATTCTATGAAATGTGAATTTATTCAAAATGCAAATAATGATTCCCAATCTTCCATTTTTAATGTTACTTATGGAATTATCGACAACAATTCCACATGCTTCGACAAAAGTAAGTGGTTCATGGATTTTTCGTCATTTCACTTTTTCAACTTAGTGGAAATAAAAATAAATATAATTTATTAAAAGTAAATATAATTTATTAAAAATAAATTTAATTTTTTTAAATTTGAAAGATAATTGAATTTTATGAGAAGAATTTTATCACTCTTGAAAATAATTAATTAATAATTAATTTCCGCAATTATTTGTAATTTTTCCAAAATTGGTTTTTTTATTATTGTTTTTCAACAAAAATTTGAATTTCAAATTTTTAAATTATTTTATTTTTAAAATTTGCTAATTTTATCCTAAAAGTGAAGATCATTGATAACTAATAAACCATAAAATAAAAATTAATATTAATATTAACAATTAATAAAAATAAATTTTAGAAAAAAAGTTTAGGTACTATATTCTTATTTGCTTTTAGAGAATCGAAAAATCTTATATGCTAATTTCCCGCATCATTTAAATCTCGATAATTTTATTATAAATGTGTATTAAAACAAAAAAGTAATATGAAAATCTTGTAGTCGAACTGATAAAAAGTTGTCACTATTTCAATATGGTAATGAAATTAATTTAAATAAAAAAAATAGGAAATAATAGTTATCCACGATAACACATTATGGTTAATCAGTGTATTAATAAAAACTAAATTTGCAAAAATGCAGTAAATGTTAAAAATATATTTTGCAATATGTAAATTTGAAAATATTCACTTTACAAAACATTCATTTCTTTAAAAATATAGAAATGTTCTACTTAATTAAATTTTTATAATTTAAAATAATTATAAACTGTTTTAATTAACGACCAGCTATTTTTAACTAATATTCTAAATTTAGAGAGAATATTTTTAGAAAATTTTGTATCAACATCAAAAATTACAATTTATATTTATTCTTTTGCCTACGAAAGTTGAATTTAAAAAAATTACACTGTTTAATATTTATGAAATTACCTAAAAATTATCAATATGTTAAAGACACTTTGAACAAAAACATTGTTAAATTTGTCAAGTTTTCAGGTAATCGGCATATGCCGGTGAAAACCCTCAGAGAAAACATGACATTTCGCTTAGCAAAATGTTGATGTACTTTCTGACGTTCATTTTAATTCAAAACCTTTTAACCTAGATAAATTTAAACAATATCAACAAAAATATAAATTCTGCATCTATTTAAATCCTTTTCAAAATTATGAAACATAAGAAAATTCAATATACTCTTATTATTATATTTTCTAAATTGGATTGAAATAAGCCAAAAATAATTGCCTCTGCTTTCAATACATTCACAATTTTCTCGAAATTTTTCAAAAACATAAATTCACAATTTTCTCGAAATTATTACGAAACGTTTATCATTATACACAAATTATTAAAGAATGAAAAATTACTAATTTTTAATTGTAAACATATATTTAAAAAAATATTTAAATACTTTTATCCTTTGTTTCTCTGCGTAAATTGTTTCAAAATATATAATAAAATATAAAAATATTCTAAGAGAAAAATTTTTCAGATAACATTTTTTGTTCTCCTTTGCAAAGGATAAATATAAAATATTTTTTAAGAATGTTCCCTATATTTTTTAATGGAAATATGTAAGTGGAATTTCGCGTGCTACTATATAAGGATTTTTTTAAAAATTACAAAATAAATACTTTATTCTTTACGAGGAAGCATTATATTGAAAAACTTTACGAAACATTTGAAAATCTTTTTTCAGAATATTATAAAAGTTTATTCAGTTAAAAAAGTAAATCATTTCGTAAAACAAAAGAAAACTACAATAATTCTTTGCAGAAGAAAAAATAGATTTCTTTATTTCCTCCCAACAGATAAATATATTTAATGAGCAATTAAAGAATAATATCATGATTTAATTAATAATTTAAATTTATAATAATTAGAGCATATTATCAATTTATATCTATATCAATTAAAATTTTCAAACTTAATTATTTTTAAAAATTCAAACTATATCGCTTTTAATGTTTTAATATTCAATTATCTAAAATTTCATCTGAAATTCATTTTTAAATCAATTCTTTTTGAAAGTTCAAAGTTCAACGAAAATTAAAATGTTAAATACAAAAATAAATAATTATTTGAATAATTGACTATTTCTTAAAATTGAATGTACTTCGAAGAATTTAATACAATTTTTAAGAATAATTGCATGTTTCGAAGAATTTATTTTAAATCGTATATATTAATAAGTCGATAACTTCTCTTAACTGAGATAATTAAAAATAATAATTGAAATCACGCAAAAGAATTTTATTATTTATGAAAATAATTGAATGGTTGTAAAAGAAATTAATTCAAAATGTTTTAAATATTTGAATTTTCTTCAAAGATTTTTTTATTAAAAATTTTGAAAATAATTAAATTGTTTGGAAGGAATTTACTTACAATTTCATTAAAAATATATGAATTCTTAAAATCAAATTTCTTCAAAATCTTTAATAATAATTGATTTCTTACGCATAATTTTACACACACTTTTTTTTTAAATAATTAACTGCTTTCAAATTTTTTTTTGAAAATTATATTTCAAATGATTAAATTTCTGTGAAAATTTTATTATTTAATTATTCAAATACAAGTAATTGAAACCTTGCAACAAATTTTAATAAAAAAAATTTGAAGACTCGACGTATTTAATTAGAATTTTATTCAAAATAATTGAAATCCTGCAATGAATTTTATAACTCATGAAAATAATTGAATACTTGTAACGAATTTTATTTAAATTTTTTTAAATAATTGAATTCCTGTAAAGCCTTTTTTTTTGTTTGTGAAAATAGTTGAATGCTTGCAAACAATTTTATTAAATATTTTTGAAAACTTTTTTAAATATACACTGTAAAAAATTTAGGGAGTTGGGAGTAAAATTTTTCGAGTTAAAAATAAAGTGCAATTTTTATAAAATCACCTGGGGAGTTTAAATTTAACTCTCTTTTTTTACAGTGTAGTAGATATTGAAATTAATAAAATATTGAATTTCAGGTGAAAAATTTCATTATTCTTAAAAATAATTGAATTCTTCCGAAAAATTTACATAAAATTTTTGAAAATAATTGAACAGTTTCAAAAGATTTTATTAAAATTTTGAAGAATAAAAAATAATTTTAATTCTGCGATAAGTTTTGTTATATTTATGAAAATAATTGAATTCTTGCAACGAATTTTATTAAAATTTTTTTTGAAGAATTAAATTCCGGAGAAAAATATTATTATTTATGAAAATAAGAAATTTGTTGTGAAGAATTTTACTCAAATTTTTTTAAAATAAATGAATTTCTCCGAAGTTTTAAAAACTTTTTGAAAATAATGAAATTCTATTGAGAAATTTCACTAAAAAATTGAAAATAATTGAAATCTAACGAAGAATTTTATTACATTTTTTTTTTTTAATAATTAAATTCCAGTTAAAAAAAATTTTTTTTGAAAAGAATTGAATTCTTGGAAAGATTTTTATTAAAATTTCTTAAATAATTGAATTGCTTCGAAGAATTTTATTCCTTACGAAAATAATTGAATTGTTTCAAAGAATTTTTACAAACATTTTTGACAGTAATATTGTATTCATTTCCTAGGAAGAGTGTTATATATTTTACGAAAATAATTGTATTCTATAATCAATTTTATTTATTATAATTTTTCAAATTCATAAAGTATTTTAACAAAATTTTTTTAAATAATTAAATTCTGGAGAAAAATGTTATTATTTATGAAAATAATTGAATTCTTAAGAAGAATTGTATTGAAAATAATTGAATTGTATAGGAAAATTTTATTAACTATATCTTGTAAAGAATTTTGTCAAAATTTCATTAAATAATAGAATTTTTAAAAGAATTTTATTTAAATTTTTCGAAATAATTGAATTGGTGGGAAGAAATTTATAAAAAAAAATTGGTAAGTATTTGAATTCCTGTGAAATTTTTATTAAAATTTTGTTTAAATAATAGAATTCTTTAGGAAAATTTTATTAAAATAGTAGATATAAAAAATCATTTAAATGAGGAAAATTTTTGAAAATAATTGAAATTCTGCCAAGAATTTTATTATAATTTTTGAAAATAATTGAATTTCAGAGAGGAATTTTATTTTTTATAAAGATAATTGAAATTTTGTAAATTTTTAAACATAATTCGATTTCTGCGAAGAATTAGAATACTTTTAAAAATAATTGAATTCCTGAGACGAATTTTATTAAAATTTCTTTTTTAATAATTGAATTTCTTTTGTGAAATTTTATTTAAATAGTAGAGATTAAAAATAATTGAATTTTGACAAATTTTTGAAATTTATGAAATTTCTTCGAAGAATTTTATGAAAATTATATTGAAAAAAATTTTATTTTTACAAAGAATTTCATTATCTATTATAATAATTCAATTTTTTGAAGAAATATAATTAAAAATGTATTGAAAATAACACTTAAATTGAAATAAATAAATTGTAGCAAAAGTTTTTAAAATAATTGAATTTCTTTGCTGAATTTTAATAAAATTTTTAAGAATAATCTCATTTTTCGAGGAATTCCATTAAAATTGTATTAAAAATTAAAAATAAGTAAAAGTCTGTGATGAGTTGTATTTATGAAAATAATTGAATCCCTGTAAAAAATGTTATTATTTATAAAAATCATTGAATAATAATTTTAAATTAAAATTTGTTAAAAATCTTTAAAAACAGGCGAAATTCTAGAATTTTTTTTAAATTCCATTCTATATCCAGGTTTTCTATACTCTTTTCTAAATTCCATACCTTTTCCAGGTTTTCCAGAATTTCCACACTGAAAAAAAAATATTCTTGTTTTAAGAGGATTCCTCTTATTTCAATGCATATTTTCCTCTTGTATATGGCGCAAAAAATGTCTTCTTATTTTAAGAGGATTATTCTCCACTTTAGAGTAATTCCTCTTAAAAGTACCCACACAGCACCGAAATTTTCCTAAAAATTTATTAAAAAATTATTTACAAACTTCGAAGTATTTACTTGAAAAGTTTAGTGAAAATTTTGTAAAGATTTAAATGTCCCACTTCAATAGATGTTTAGCGTGAAACTTTTCTGAAAATTTAAAAAAAAATTTCGCCTACTGTATATAGGCGAAAATTTAATTTAAATTTTCAGGAAAGTTTTAAGTTACATTTTCGCTTATAAGAGAGAAGTCGAAAATTTAATTTAAATGTTCGGGAAAGTTTTAAGTTAAATTTTTAGGAAAATTTGACTATAAACATTTATTTAAGTGGGACATTTGAATCTTTACACAATTTCCACTAAACTTTGCAAGTAAATTTTTCGAAGTTTGAAAGTAAATCTTTAATAAATTTTCAGGAAAGTTTTGGTGCTGTGTGGGTAGAGGAATAGTCTCCAATGAAGAGTAATATTCTTAATTCAAGAATAAAATGTAAGAGGATTTTACACCCAGAGAAATGGTATATTTGTCTCAGAACCAACTAGACTTTTTATTTGTTTGAAATAAATTTTATTTGGTTTAAATAAAATTTTATTTATCTCAAATATATGTTTTATTTGTGTCGAATAAAATTTTTATTTAAAAGAAATAAAAAGTCTAGTTGGTTCTGAGACAAATATACGTTTATTTAACTCAAATAAAATATATTTGGTTTAAATAATATTTTTCTCTGGGTGTAGAAGAGGAATTGTCCTCTCAAAACAAGAATATTTTTTTTCGGTGCAGGCTCTGTGGTAACAATGAATATTTAACAAATAATAAATGTAGATTAATTAATATTCACTAATAATAAATTCGATTTTAATTTCCACTAATATTGCATAATTTACTCTTGCAGGTGATAGAGGGAAAGTTTCAAACACAGAATCGGAAGTAGACGCTCCATGCGCTGATATTGATCCCAATGGAATACTCATCTTCCAAAATTGCTCCTTCATTCACAGAAACAAGGAGAATGAGTCGAGAAGTTCTGAACAGTGCAAAAGTTTATTTACCCCAATAAAATTCTGGGGTGCTTCAATTGTAGTGTTTGCCTCGTTTATTTACATCTTCCCTTATTCTATCGTTGTTGTTTTATATTACATAATGCCCGATCTTCGTAGAAAAGTATTCGACAAAGTGGTGATGTGCTTCTGCCTATCTCAAGTTGGTACCGCAGCAATTCTAGGTACATTCGGCTACTTTATTCTCTATTATCATCAAATAATACCCAAATTATGCTATTCAATTGTTGGTCTATTCCTCATGTTTCTAACAATATCATCTGTTCTTTGGATGTTTATAATGTGCTTTGACGTTACATTGACGATAACACGATTCAGATGGGCGCCAGCAACAAGTAATTCAACAGATCAAAATCGTAAATTTCGCACCTACGCAATTTGGGTTTATTGCGGTAGTTTAATACCAACGGGTTTCGCAAGTATTTTCGAATTAGTGCCAACGGTGTCGAAAAATTCTCCACTAAGACCAAATTTCAATAATTTTAATGACACAAATTTTGCCGTTATTGGCTACGTGACATTTATACCGGCCATTGTTTTTTTGGCGAATAATTTTCTATTCATTTACACATCGTGGAGAATGTTTCAAATTCAAAAATCAACGAGCATTGCCACTGAGAATCGAGCCAAGAAAAGTTACATTACATATTTGAAATTATATTTTCTCATGGATGCACCATGGTTGACTGGTGTACTTGGTGCAATCTATCCCGATTTATGGATATTAAAATTATTCCGAATGGTGCATCCAATTTTACTATTAATGGCAATTTTACCAAGAAAAATGGCGATAAACACTTTTCGTTGTAACAATAACAAACAATTGAAGAGTAGTCAGAAAGTGATTGGTAACGAAAAAATTCAAAACAATGTTAAAAAAGAAAATCCAGCAATTTCCATAAAAGAAAAAGTATAAAAGAGAAAAACTAAAAATTCTATATTTAATTTCACTTTTTCAAAAATTAATTAACGATTTATTTATTATCAAATCAATCAATTTTAGAGAATGGAATTATTGGTTCAAATACAATTTATTTGATTTAAATAAAAATGATTTGATTCAAGTAAATATTTATTTGATAATATACGGTTATATAATACAATATCTAGACAATTTCAATTTCTTAATTAATATTTTATTTTATCGGAATTACTAGACTTGTGACTAAAAGGAAAAACTAGAACACATTTACCATAAAATATTGATTATTAGAGTGATGTCTAAACTAAATAAAAGACGTACAAAAATAAGCATTCAACATCCGAAGAATGAATGCCATTTTTAAGACTGATATATATGTAAATATGAAAATATTTTATAACTGAATTTTTTTTTGCAAATGTTAATATTCATGTGAGATCATGTATCACTTCCATTATTGAAATAAATATATTCTTTTGATATTAAAAAATAAACTAGAACTAATGCTTTACATATAACATATTTTTTCTAGCCTCTAACTTTCCCTATTGCCATTTTATTTACTTTTAATTTAAAAATTTTGCCTTTTGCAAATAAAAAAAAAAGATGAAAAAAAATATCACGAATATACCGCATATATATTTTGTACACCGCTCTCAATATACAATATTTGAAATACAAATATTTAATTAAACCTTAAATTTTATATTTCATTTCGAATATATATAAATATAAATATTTCAATTCAATTTTTTTTTTCGCTTTTTTTTCGTTTCCAATTATAAACGAGTTATCATTCGTTTTTGTGGGATGAGATTTCTCCTGATGGAACGTAAAAGGGTTGAAACTGAAGTGGCCGGTAATATGGTCATAGCGTGTTCCTAATAGACTTCTAACTAGTTTATGTGTAGGTACAGATTGAAATCTCTGACAGTAAAAGTCACGTTGTCATCTGCGAATATGTAATAACGTTTCGTCTATATTCGCTCCAAGAAAATAGAAACCAGACAAAAACGAAAAAACTGTATCAAGATAACTGTGTAAATAGAGTGAGTTACATAAAAAAAAAGTACGAAAAAAAAATGATGACATTGGCCTGGAATATTTCTTAAAGCACAATAAATTTTTTTAAAAAATTTCTAATTTCGTTAAAATACGCATTTTGCAAAAAAAATTGCAATAAAGCTTATTATTAGATTCTAAAAATGATTATAAAAAAAAAATAAAAAAAAAAAAAAAAAAAAGAAAACTGTTCTAAAAAAACTATTCTATTATATTTATTTACGAATTTTTTTAATAAAATTATTCCAAAACACCGAAAAATTCTTTTTTAAATAAATATTTAATTATTATTATTCCATGGGAAATAAAATTGTCAAAAAATTTTAAATTCAAACCTTTATGAAATTTAACAAATTATAAGAATATCATTACAAAACATAAAGATATCGATCACTCCGAGTCGAAGACTCGGAGTTATTAATATCTTCATGTTTTGTAATAATTTAAATTTACATAAAATTTTTCAAAAATATATTAAACTATTTACAAAAATTTTAATAAAATCCTGACCCAAGAATTCAATTATTTTTACAAGTATAATAAAATTTTTCACATGAATTCAATTATTTTCATAAATAATAAAATTTTTCATAGGATTTCAATTATTTTTAATACAATTTTAAATAAATTTCTCAAGAAATTTAATTATTTTCAAAAATTTTTTGCAAGAATTCAATTACATTTTACAAATAATGAAATTCTTCGCTGAAATTCAAATACTTTCAAAACTATTTTAATAAAATTTCTTAAATTAATTCAATTATTTTAAAAAAATGTAATAAAATGCATTGCAAGAATTCAATTATTTTCATAAATAATACAATTTTTGACAGGATTTCAATTATTTAAAAAAAATTTAATAAAAATTCGTTGCAAGAATTGAACTATTTTCATAAATAATAAAAGATTTCATAAGACTTAAATTATTTTTAAAAAAATGTAATAAATTTTTTTACAAGAATTCAATTATTTTCCTAAATAATAAAATTCTTCATAGGATTTGAATTATTTTTAATACAATTTTAAGTAAATTTTTCGAAAAATGTAATTATTTAAAAAAAAAAAAACACAATTCAATTATTTTTTAAAATTCATGCTATAATGCTTTTAATATTCAATTATTATGTAAAATTTTAACTGAAATTCATTTTTAAATCAACATTTATTGGAACATTCAACGAGAATTCAATTATTTAACTAGAAAAATAAATATTTTATTAAATAATTAAATGTTTCTTAAAATTGAATTTTCATACAGAATTTTATCAACAAAATTTTTAAATAATATAATTCTTTTGTAAAATTTTAATGAACTATAGTAGATATTGAAAATAATTGAATTTTGATAAATTATTGAAATTAATTAAATTTCTACGAAGAATTTTATTAAAATTATTTTGATAAAAATTGAAATATTAAAAAGAATTTTATTAAAATTTTTTGAAAATAATTTAATTCTTTCAATAAATTTAATTAAAAATATATTGACAATAGTACTTAAATTCTAAAAAATAAATTATAGGAAGGCATTTTACAATAATTGAATTTCTTTGATAAATTTTAATAAAATTTTTAAGAATAATTACCTACATTTGTCGAGAAATTCCATTAAAATTGTATTAAAATTAAAAATAATTGAATCTCTGCAAAAAATTTGATTGAATTGAGAAATTTTTTTTGAAAATAATTGAAATTTTGCCAAAATTTCTTAAAAACTAAAATTTATTTTTGAAAATAATTGAATTTTGGAGAAAAATCCTATTATATAAAGAAAATTGAAATTTTGAAGAGAATTTTTAAAAATTTTTGACTATAATATTGAATTTCTGCGAAGAATTTTATACTTTAGAAAGTAATTGAATTTTTGAGACGAATTTTATGAAAATTTCTTATTAAATAATTTTATTGAATTCTTTTGTGAAATTTTATTTAAATGGTAGACATTGAAAATAATAGAATTTTGACAAATTTTTGAAATTTATTAAATTTTTACGAAGAATTTTATGAAAATTATTTTGAAAAAAATTGTATTGTTACAAAGAATTTCATTATCTATCAAAATAATTCAATTGTTTGAAGAAATTTTATTAAAAATGTATTGAAAATAATACCTAAATTGTAATGAATAAATTGTAGCAAAAGTTTTTAAAATAATTGAATTTCTTTGCTGAAATTTAATAAAATTTTTAAGAATAATTTCATTTTTCGAGGAATTCCATTAAAATTGTATTAAAAATTAAAAATAATAACTAGAAATAATCTCAAAGTCACAGAAAAATTGACTGAGAGCCAAAACTAATGTCAATCCTGCGGTTTTTTTTTTTGCAAATTTCTAAATAAACTTTTACATAAATAATAATTAAAGCTTTGAATTTTCAATTTGACTGTAAAACTACTCGTCAATGTACAATCAATTTGAAAGTGGAAAAAGTTCAAATAAATTTATCTCGAAACGGAATTTGTAGCACGGATGCCACAGTAACAAATTTGATTTCGGATCTCTTTAAAAAAAAAAAAAAAATTGCGGCATTTCATTTGTAACCGAAACTAACTATCGTGCGATGCATATACAAAATCATGAATTTTTAGATAACTGACCTCTTTTATAAACATTATTTCGCGAGGGGAAAATTTACTTGTTTTTCAATTGGCCAGGCAAAAATATTGACTATCGACTATCGACATGATACTGAAAAATTGAAGGAAAATTTTTTTATTTATCCGCAGATGGCACAGTAATAGATCCATCTCGAAATATTCCAGTAGAATATTTATTTATATTTGGAGTTTCAAAAAAAAAATAATAATTCAAAAAACTATTTCCTCTCTTTAAGGAATTAATTAGGAACTTTCAAATGGAACATTTTTAAAACTATTCCTAAAAAATATTCGAGAAATATTTTTCTTTAATCTATCGGGAATATTTTTTAAAATATATCTATATTAGAATATTCCAGTGGAATATAAAATTATTCCTATATTAAAATATTCCAATGGAATGTTGAAGTATTCTTGTATTAAAATATTCCAGTGAAGTATTATAAAATATTTCGTTGCAATTATTCCAACGAATTTTAATAATTAATAATATTTAAATAATATTTAATACTAATAATTTCATAATTATTTTATAATTATTAAAAATAATAATTAAATTTTAATATTCCAGTGAAATATTAAAATATTTCGACTATAAATCATTATAACAATTCATAAAAATTCTTCTTGCAGAAAGGATTATCAGATAATTATTTATGTGCGAACAAATTATTGGTTATTTATAATAAAGGAAATAATAAATAATAAAAAAATAATAAATGAAAACAGCCAGTAAATTATCTTCTCGCATATAAGTGATTATTATCGTTGTTAGTCTTTTCTGCAAGAAGAATTTTTATGAATAGTTGTAAAATGATTTATAATACGTCCCCATTTTTTTCGATTCGATTTTTTAAATTCTGAATATATATAAAATTTTTGCTAATTTTATGCTAATTTTTACGCTAGTTTCAATTTATGCTTAAATAATTTATTATGTCTTATACATGTAGGATAGATTATTTATTATTTTCAAAGTCTGTTATTCATTAACGAAACAATTTTTCGTACTTTATATTTATTTAATTTGCACAATGTAGACAGAATTCGAGAGATTTTTATGGTAATTGACGTTTCATTGGCATTTAAAGAATATTTGAATTTCATATTACTGTGGAACCGAACGTTTTTAAAAAATTGAAGGATTGTATAAGATATTGTAGTGATAAATATGTTTGTGAAATAAAAGAGGAGTAATTTTTTAGAATATTTCAGGAATATTTTTTTCTACTTTAAAAAAATAATTTAAAAACAAAAAAAAAAATTCTTTTTGAAAATTACAATTCATAAACAAAGTACAAATTTTAATTTAAAAAAAAAAATGTTATAAATCAAATTTTGTTTAAGAAATTTTAAATTTATTTTAGAAAAAATATT